CGTTGTTATTTCATGTTTGTATTATTTATAAAAGACAATGTAGGAAATTGAATTGCATACAAACCAAAGCAAAGAATTAAAAAAAATCGTTCAAATAAAAAAACCAATCGGATTTTAAGTAATACAAATATTTCATTTAATCATTTGAAAATTCAACAAAAATTGTATATTTATTAATTATAATAATAATAATAATAATAATAATAATAGCAAAAAGTTATGTAGTGTAATTGTTTTTGTGATTTTTCATGTTGTAGTTTTTTTTTTTATTGAAGTATAATTAAATTTATTTAGTTTTCATTTATAGTAATAATAATAATAATAAAAAATCAACTAAAATATTCAACTAAATTACATTAAAAAGTAGACAAAGATGGGAATTTTTTTTTTGTTTGTGGGCGTGATGAAGAAACACAAAATAAAAAGTAGGCGTGTGAATTACAAATACAACACTGGGGATGCTTTTTTTCGTTTTGCATAACATAAGTAAAAAAAAAGGTACAAAGTATTATATTACACATTAAACAAATAATGCTTAAACCAAAAAGTGTGCTAAATTTTGTATAATTAAAATAAAAAAAACAAGGAAAAATAGACGCATATCAAAGATTTGGTGTTTTGTGTGTGATTTGAATTAAGTAAAAACAAAAATTTGCAACGCTTTGATTGCTGTTTTTCTTCTTCTTTTTTTTTTTGCAGTATTGAATAAATAAAATCGCGCAGTTTAAATTGCCTAAACTTTACCAATTTGTACATTTCGTCATCAGATGATCTGAGAGAGCTCGTGGATGCTACTTGAAAGACCTCTAAAGTATTTGAAACTTGAGCAAGCGTTGGGAGCAGCTATCAAAAATTGATATTTAAGAATTTTGGTATTAGTTTAAACATTCTGCTTTTGGAATCGGTATTGAAGATGATGTTGAAGATGTATGCACAAATAAATGTTTCAAATAAACACACACAATAAACTGACATTGAGTAGCGGCAAATATTTTGTTTTTAAATAAATAATGAAAGAAAAAGAGATAAGGGGAGAATATATGCATGAATATATAGTTTTCTTTTATATATTTTTATATGAAATAAGACTAAACAAAAATAAAACTGTCTTCATTAAATTGTTGTTTATAAATTTGAATATGTTTTATTTTTTTTTTTAATTTAAGTATGCTTGTGTTTTATTTGATTAAATTAGATTGTTATGTATTTATAAAATATACGTTATTGATTTTTGCTAAGGAGGTAATATAAATTACATTTAAATGTTTTTATTTAGTTATTTATTATTTTATTATTATTATGTTTTTTCGTTTTTCGTTTGTCGTTCTTCTTTACGATTTAGTTATCAATTATTTATTGCTATTTGCGTTAGGTAGAGCAATGTGTATTGGAAGTTGTGACTATTATTTAGTTTATTTTAGTTTAGTTTAGTTTAGCTGGAGTGATTTAATTATCATTTCGTTTATTTATTTAGTTTTCGCAATTATTTTCTTGGTGGCTGAGGTGGGCATAAGTTTGTTTGTTTCTTTTGTTTCTTCTGTTTTTAATGTTATGTATCTTAAACGTCGCCTTCAACTTTTGCACTCACTCGATGCATTCTCATCCGTTTAACAAAATTAATCATCAATTACAGTTAGTTTCATTTAACACTTTACTTGCACATTGAACTAAAACAAAAATAAAATTCAAAACTAAATTAATAAAAAATATTTCGGGGAGAGGGGGCGACAACTAAAACACGGGCTGACTTATACGGTAGTTGGTGGTGCGGTGCTGCCTTTGACCTTGCATACTCTTATTACAAATGTGTGTGTGTGTGAGTGTGTGAGTGTGTGTGTGTGTGTGTGTGAGTGTGTGTTGCTATGCCAATTAAATAACTAAACAACTATGTATATAGTTAGATGTATGTGTGTGTTTGTTTTCTTGTGGTTTGCCTATAAATAATTGTTTTTTGTTTTTGTTTTTGTTTTTCTTTTTTGTTTTAATTCATATGTATATAAGTAATTTAAATTCTTAAATTTAGACGAAAATTATATATGCTTTTTGTTTGCCAGACTCATATATATGTATATATAATTCTCTCAAGTAAATGCCAAAAAGTGTTGTTGATTGGGTTTAGGTTTAGGTTTAGGTTTAGGTTTAGGTGTATGTACTATATATGTACTTATCAACTTAAGTATAATTCTAGATAGGTAAATGTATGTAAACGAACTTCTCGCTGAATTGTGAATAAAAGTTACTATCACTTCGACTTCTTTTCCCATTCTGCTTTTCTGAAAATGTACGCATCGTAGAATTACTTGTATTCTTTTTTGGTATGTTAAATGGCGGCAATTCTAAATGCCTGTTTTTTATTTTTCATTTTTCATTCTTTTTCTTTTTGTTTTTTGATTGGAAAACACGGCACATGCAAACTATTGTTAACTAAGCAAAACTGTAGTCGGGCACCCAGAACAACTATTTAGGTATTTTTTTTTTTGTAGAGAGAACCATGCCAAAAAGTCACCAATGCGGTTGGTTGTTGACCCGCTTCTGGAGGGGATTACGATTGATTAGGATAAAAGAGGAGGGATTAAAGGGATTTATAGGGGGGGTCAAAGATATAATATCAAATTTATCACAAATATTGTTTTAATTTTTGAAAAATTATTTACGTTACGTAGTTTTGCAGTAGTGGAGAGGGAGAGATATCAAAAACTGTATCACGTGGTTGAGCAGAATAATGAAAATGTATATCGAAAATCTTGAAAATGTATGATAAAGTGTACTTAATTTTAACGTATTCGCAGTCATTTTTCATTGGGTATTGACGAATCACAACTCACAAATAGAGGGTACATTTGAAATGTTTTAGATGCAGGATGGGATGGGGGGTCACAGTTTGGCTGCTTTTTTTTTTGTTTTGAACTAGGCAATTTTTTTTTTTTTTTTGGGTAATTTAGACATTTTCTCAAAATGTTTAACACAGGGTTGGGAGATTTTAAAAATTTTCATAAAATTTTTGTTTATAATAAACATTTAGAGGCGAAAGTAAAATGATTGCGACGCGAACCCAGTCTGAATCTCTGGAAAGGATTTGCAGGACGCGTCACATTTTCACAGATAGTTTGACGAAACTTAAGGAAATAGTTGATCTTAGGATCGATTCGTTTCAAACGTTATGCACAGTTCAGAGGATTACACACTGTGTGCTGTTTGGGGTAGCCATTTGATTTATAGTTGTGGTCTGATAACTTTCTGTCACAGTTTGATCATACGTCAAAATTTTGTATTGGTCACAGTAGGATAAATACCAAATTGGTTTTTCTTTCAATTTAATTAAAAGTAAAGATTGAAATCTTTTGAAATTTTTACACAATTTTGAGTTTGTATTGGTCACAGTTGGATAAATATCGAATTTTGTTTTTCTTTCAATTTAATTAAAAGTAAAGATTGAAATCTTTTGAAATTTTTACACAATTTTGAGTAGAGTTTTCACAGGTCAATATCAAATTTGATTTTTCTTTCAATTTAATTAAAAGCAAAGATTGAAATCTTTTGAAATTTTTCCACAATTTTGAGTTTGTATTGGTCACAGTTGGATAAATATCGAATTTTGTTTTTCTTTCAATTTAATTAAAAGTAAAGATTGAAATCTTTTGAAATTTTTACACAATTTTGAGTTGGGTTTTCACAGGTCAATATCAAATTTGGTTTTTCTTTCAATTTTATTAAAAGTAAAGATTTAAATTTTTATATATTTTTGAGTTTGGGAGAATGAAAAAATGAATAAACTTATATGAAGTAGATGCTGGTGGGATGGGGGGTCGAGGAACAGAAATTGGTGACTTTTTTCATGCACAAAATAAACACAAAACAGGAAACATTGAACCGCTCTTTAAATTGTTGGGATGTTTGCATACCATTATGTATATATCGTATATATACATACATATATATATATAAAAATTTAGAAAACTTTCTTAAACCTATTAAACCTATCGATAGCGAGTGAGTGTGTGTGCAAAGCACAAACAAACAAAACACTTTTACAGAGATCCATCACAAACGGCTGTTCTGCTAAGTTGCCTTGCTGCTACAAATACTACAGATAGATACATAGATACATACACACATATATATTTATATTAATAGAGAGAGAGAGACAGAGGGGGAGAGACATAAACAGAGAGTGAGAGAGAGAGAGACAGAGACCTAAACATATTCACACATAGTACAAAAGAAAAAAAAAACGATGAAAATATAGCTGAAGATAAAAATATTATAAAGAAATTTGCGAATGCATTTCTTTAAATTGGGGAGGGGGTTAACTAGCTTACTTAAACTTACTAATTAATGATCACGCTGCGCCGAAAATTGTTGTAGTTGTTGTTGTTGTTGTTATTTAGAACTTATATCATAGGATAGGCGGGCAATGGGTTGCTCCAAAAATACCATTTTGCGGATAGGAATCTGGGAACTACTTTTTTTTTTAGCTGCATGTGCCGTTTACTGTTAATTATTGAATTTATTTCGGAATTTCTTCTTTTTAATTTATGCTGAAGTTTCGTTCAAACTTTTTTGGAGAAAGTTATTTGGAGGCGAAGGGGCGGGGTTTTTTTTTTTGGGGTAGGCGTTACTGCTTTTCCAAATTGCTGACTAAAATCTAGAAATAATTACCAATCGTTTAGGTAAAGATGTGCAACTTATCGATTAATTTAGTATGTTAAATTTATGTTGTTTTTGTTTTCTTTTTGTTTATAAATTGATTGTAGCAAAATTTTGTTTTCTTTTGTCATACATACATTCGATTAAGATAATTATTTAGTTTAAATTTTATGTTTTGTTGTTTGTTTGTTTATTGAGCAGCACAGCAATTTTTGATTGTTACAACGAACATAAAATGCTTTGCTTTCAATACATTTTCATTATCCTCTTTGCTAAATAAAAAAAAATCCATAAAAAATTACGCGATTTTTCACACATGTTGCAAACCGCATTTGCATTTTTTTCTGTTTTTTTTTTTGTTTTTTTTTTTTGGTAGGTTTTATATAAAAATTTCTTTTATAAAATAAAACTAAAAATTGCTTTCTTTTGGGGGTGTGTGGTTTTTCTGTTGATTGTTTTTTTTTCCTTTTCCTTTTTTAGTTTTCTTCGCATTGTTGTTGGTAAACTCAACAAAATGAACGAGAAAATTGTAATTTGTTGTTTTCTGCCTTTTTAGTAAAATCGTTCTGCCATTTATTTTAATTAAAATTACACACAGCAACTTGCGGCAAGTTTTTGTTTTTTTGTTTTTTTTTTTTGTTTTTGTTCTTCGATTTGATTGTTGTTGGAAATTTGCTTATTTGCCTGGATGGTTCTTAAAAGTGCCCGTTACTGTAACTGTAGATGTTAATGTTGTTATTTTTTATCTTTTATCTTTTCCGTATCTTTTAATGTTACTATTCTCTGTTAAATTTCGCTAGAGTAACATTTTGTTAATTGTACGAATGTGTGGGTGTGTATGTGTGTGTGTGTGTGTTTGTGTGTGGATCGCTTAGTTGTTCATGTTTAGATAATCATTGAAGAGCTGCATGCAAGCGGCAGCGCCACCTAGTGGCTCATCAAAGAGTTGCTGCTGCTGCTGCTGTTGCTGCTGGAGTTGATTGGCACTGATGTTGTTGCTGTGCCGCCAAATGTTGGCCGCCTCGAGCAGCTCACCCGCCGACGAGGACGAATTGGAGCTAACATCTGAGACATCGTTGTTGGCCTTGTTATTAAGCTGGCTGCCATCCTGGCTAATGTGCAGATTGCACAGGAGATCGCTGAACATGGCCGGAACAAGTGAAGCTGCAGTATTCTGATTGTTGCTGTTGATGTTAATGTTGCCAGCTGTTGTTGGTAGCTCCCAAATGTTTTGTGCCGCACTGAGCTTGCCATAGTGTGCCACATTTGTGTTGCCCCAACCGCCGCTCGATGAGGCGCCCGATGAGCTGGTCAACGAGGCCGTTGGGGAAGCAGCATGCGGCAACAGCTCCTTAGCCGCATAGAAATTCTCACGCAACTGAGCCAAACCATTGGGCGATGTCTGGGCCCAGAGCAGCTCCTTGCTGTGGCTTGTGGTCGGACTGAGCGACGGCTGTGAACCGCTGCCCGATGAGCAGCCGCTGGTGGAGCCGCCGCTTGTGGATGCATTGCTGGCACAGCCCCACAAGGCGGATATAGCCTCGGCTTGGGCCATTGGCTGCTGCGACCAGGCGTTCATTTTGCTGCTGTTGCTGTTGCTGTTGCTGTTGCTGCTGCTGCTGTTGCCGTTGCTGTTGTTGTTGTGATTGTTGTTATGTGAATTATGGCTAATTAATAAGTTACTAATACTGCTGCCAACACCATTGTTGCTGCTACTGTTGTGATTTGTGTTGCTGTTGTTTATGTTGCTCAACAAGAGTGCGTTGGAATCATGGCTGAGAGTCAAGTGGCCCAATTGCTTGTGTGGCAGTTGCTGTTGTTGCTGCTGCTGTTGATGTTGCTGTTGCGGCTGTTGTTGATTTTGCTGCTGCTGATACTTGCTCATAACATCCGCCATGGCCGTTAGGGTATTTGAGAGGCTTAGTTTGTGTTGCTGCAGTTGATGCAATTGTTGCTGCTGCTGCTGTTGCTGTTGTTGTTGTTGCTGCTGCTGATAGCTGGCAGCACGAGCTGCTGCTCCTGTTGATGCTGTTACCAAGTAGGCCGCTTCAGCGGCTCGCTGTGTGGCTGCAACTGCAGCGGGCACCACAGCTGCTGCTGGTGTCTGTTGCTGTTGTTGCTGCTGCTGCTGCTGATGTTGCTGTTGTTGTACTGCCTGCTGTGGTTGTTGCTGCTGCAGCTGTCTTACCTGCTGATGCTGCTGGGCATGCGGATGAGCACCAATTAGATCGGGATTAATTTGCTGCTGCAGCGGAGCGGAATAGTCGATGGCAGCATTGTAGATTGGCTGCTTGGAGGCCGTTGAAGCACCATTGGCACTGGCTGTTGCTGTTGCACTGCCGGCGACCGCTGGGGACTCCAACGGGGCCTCATGTTATGCGATCGCCTGCATCCGCGTCGCATTGCTCTTAGCGTAGCAGTAGCTCAGCGGCTTCACAAAGTGAGTGTCCTGCGTGTTGCAAAAGGGGCAAGTGACGCCGTGCGAATAATCGCTGTAGAAGCTCAACCGCTGCTGTGGATGCATCAGCATTTTGAAGCAATTATTGCACTGCAACAAAAGAAGAAGATGCAAAACAAAAGCAAGGCAATTAGCTTGAAATGTTAATGAGCAACTGATCGAAGAGAAACTGATCTAAAATATCACTAGATTTAAATGAAATTTTGTCAAAACTCTAGTTGAGCTTTAAGTGCGAGTAACAACTTTCAATTAATATTTAAGCAATTTTTTAAAGCACACTTTAAGTGCACTTCAACAGCAGATTAGTTTACTATTCAATTAAATTAAAAAGGCTTTTTTAAGCTTATAAATTGATTTCAATTGTGTTCTATGGCAGCTTGGCAAGTGATTATTAAAATCTTCACTAGAAACTTATTTTAAATCCCTGCATGCCGTTTAAAAACTCTTTTTACGTGTGCTTTTGCTATATTTTATATATCAGAAACAGGAACAAAAACTGCATTTTCACTTTAAATATGTTTTATGTTTTTTGCATTGTTTTTATGCTTACCTTGAAACGCTCGGCACAGCAGGGCATAGCAGCAAAGATGTCGTAGGAGTACATGGTGCCCAGCACCAGACTGGAGCCATCCCAGGGCTCATTGCAGAATCTGTAAATGACAATTGTGTATTGTTGTTGCAGTCGGGGCTATTGTGTGTGTGTGTGTGTGTGTGTGTGTGTGCGTGTTGCAACTTACCTGCAGCTGATGACACGACTGCTGGAGGTGCCATCCAGGCAGCTCATGCACACACAGGTCAAGTAAAGCATGCGTCCCTCGTGCTTAACCTGCAAGGCAGAGAAAGGTGGCGTGAGGTGGAGATTTAACACATATTAAATAGAACAAAAAGCGGAGCAAGGGGCAAAAGCAGCTTGTAAGCCAGGCCACAGTCACATTATTCATTGTTATACACACTGCACACTCTGGGAAAATGATTTCTGGCAAACTTTCTACCCTCGCAAAAGGGCTTCAATGCCGGCGCGTCGCGACATAATAATTTCAAATAAAATGCAAAATGCATAACGCCCACGAGACGCAGCCAAATAGCGATGCAGGCCCTGACACTGGCAGCCAAAAAGAAGCGAGAGTCGAGCCCCGGGCAACGAGGCCGGCGGCAATGCTCGTTTGGCAATGAATTATAAATCCAGGTTTAAATTAAAGGGGCGCCCTGTCAGCTCAGCCATGACAAAACGAACAAGAAAGAAATATGTAGCTGTAGTTGTAGCTGCCTCGAAAGCTGTGCCAGCTGGCTGCAAAGGCGTAGGTTTACTGCTGCTGCTGCTGCTGTTGCGGCTGCTGTTGCACGTGGGTCGCCGGCCGTGTGCCTCTCTGTGCAACTTTGCAACTTCCAATGCACTCGAAGAAACCATTTGCAATCGAATTAAACAAATGTCTTTGCTTTAGAAACAAAAGATCGCATTTTTCAGCAAATGTATTACTAAAATTGTCCTTCTAAAATCTTTTGAATATTTATATTTTGGATGCACTATTTTAAAAAATGTCTTAAAATATTTTTGAAGAAAGATTTTGCATGTCTATTTTACTATTAAAAGTAAAAATACCTGAAGAATTTTTGGTATTGCCAATTAATAAATTATATTAAAAATAAATTTTATTTGCATTTTTAAATTCTATTTATTTTTTTAAAGAAAAAATAAACATATTAAATTAAATTACAAATTATGCACTTAAAAGTGAACAATAAAATTTAAATCGAAAAATAAATAAATCGAAATGTATATAAAAAGTCAACGGCACACCAATTTTGCTGAGTGTACAACAACAATAAATGCATTTGCTCACCGCTGGCAGTTTATTAGGCGCTGCCGTAATTATGCTGACTGAAATGGGTCATAAATTGCAAATGCAACAAAGGCGACTTAGGCGCGCCATGCCCCCAATTGTCTCCCCTCCCTATCCGCTACTCAACCATTTCACATTTCCCTCAGTGCCACATAATTTGTGTAGTTATGCCAGACGTTGAGACAGTCAGACACCGAGACACATTGTGACTTATATATATATGTATATGAGACGCTTGACTTTAAATATACGTTTTTCACCCATTTTTACTCAAATTTGCAACAACTAATTGCAGCAGTTCCTTGGGGGGCATGTGGGCGAGTGAAAGCAGCAACCGGTTGTCTGCCTGCCTGCCTGCCTGGTTGCCTGCCACGCGTGGGTGTCCACATCAACATTTGATGGTTATTAATGATGAAAAGGGACAGAGCAAAAGATAGAGACTCACCTCAATGCAGCCGTTGGAATGCTGCTTGGGACTTAGAAAGAAAGAGCCATCGACCAACGGATAGCGATCGAATACAAGCAACGGCTCCTCGCACAAAATGCATGCAACGCGACTCATCTGCGACTGGGCCAGGGCGGTGAGTATGAAGAGGCGTGTCTCATCGTTGCCATGATTGCCCTCGTCCTCAATCTGCAACAAAGACAAAAATTCATACATAATTTTTAGCAAATGGTTTGAATTTAAACTTGAAGGGCTAAACTAACCGAAAGAAAAAAATATGAAACAAAAAATATAATAAAATATTGGACGAAATTTATGTGTGTTTATATATATATATATAGAAAACTATAATAATGCCAAGGTGCCAAAAAATAAACCCAATATACTTACATACCTAATGTGCTATTGTGTGTGTGTGTGTGTGTGCATGTATGTGTGTGGCAGGACATTGGCGTCTAAGCGCAACAACAAATGAACCATAAAATCCAAACGTGCTCAGCCAGCCAGGCAGGCAGCCAAGCAGCCAAGCAGCCAACCAGCTTGCGACGTGTGTGTCTAGTTGGAAAGCCAAATGGCTAACAGGATGGCTAAATTGAAAGCACACACGCAACATAGCGAATCCCACTCACACACACGGGGGCTCACACCCACACACCTACACACTCAAAGGCATGCATTGAGCAGCGAGTGCAGACCAGAGCAGACCTGACTCAGGACAATTCCCCAATCGATAATCAATATGGCGAGCCGCGGCTCTAATAAAGCCGTCAAGCAGCCACAGAGCCAAACTCAATATCAATGCGAATGACACAAAAACAAAAAGGAAAACCCAGTCAATATGTTGCAATTGAAATATTCCAACTACTCAATGCTCTGTAAGCAGTTTAAAGCGCTCACAAATTTATGTGACCATAAAGCAACGGCTTTAAAACTACAATCCAAATAAATTAAAATTAAATTAACATTTACAAAGTAAATTCTGTTTGTATCATAAGATTTTAAGATTCTTAAATACAAAAAAAAGTTATTTAAAAATATTTCTAAACACTTCTTTAAATAATTCTTTTAAATGTAGAATCTTGTTTTCAAAACAATTATTACCAAAATTAAATAAACGTAATATTTAAGCGAATTTGGAAATATTTTTATCCAATACTGTTAGCAAAATAAGGGCAGAATGTGGCAAATGTGGAAAATGTGCTTCCAGCAAGACGATAGCTTTCGCTGGAAAAATGTTCGAATTTACACAAAACCAATATACCTTTTGTGCCTGTGGGAATAGTGCACAAAAAGGTGTTGAAGGATGCACAAAACATGGGTAAAAGCACAAACATTGGCAGACACTAATCAAAGTTGCCCCTAGTTGTTGCGAGTGAAGGTTCGACTGCCGCCGCACAGGTAATTGCCGTTTGCCCAGGTGACCGCACACACACACACACACACACACACACACTCAGTTACACAAATAACGACACAGACACGTTGAATTATTTAGTAATAATGGTAAATAGAAGGACGACAGGACACGTACGTACGTCCTAATCAATTGCAGCAATGGGACAACGGGTACTACGTGTTATGTCCATTAGACATGGGACAAGTTTAATGCACTTTTAATAAGACGCAGGGCGAACTTCGAGGAGTACTTCACTCGACACAAGAAGTCGCAAAAACTTTCACCATTATGCACAGAACACATTTTGTAATGTTGTGCAAATATTTGCCAAGAACTTTTGCTTGGGCACAAAAAAGGATGTTGTTGCCTCTCAGTCAAATCTCTTCAAACAAAAGAACCAAAAAACAAAACAAAACAATCAGCAAATTAATATTTGCACTGGGTGAAACCACACCCACAACCATCCCTCTCCCTCCTACCTTCTCCTTCCATTCCCCCCCACTTCATAAGCTGCTTGTCTCATAAATTCACACAACAATAATAAAATCAACTCGAGGTGGCATTAAACTCGATTAATCAATGTTTGCATTCATTTTTGGCTCGGTTGGCCAGTTGCCAAACACAGGGAAAACTGATTCGTGATGGGGATTGGGTTTTTGGGTGGGATGTGGGTGGATGGGTTCCTCTTGTTGCCTGTAAGCCTGTTGCTAAGTAAGCGATATAAAGCGCAAATTTCACTCATTAAACAAAAGGAAAATGTTGCTGTTGTTCTTGCAAGTGGCGCTTTAGCAGCAATTGAGTTGATTGTTGTGGGGGTTGTGGCACAAAACAATTGCCTGCAATGTCTAGGGTTAGGTTACAACAAACACCAACAATATCGAGAACAATAATAATGTGCAGGCATTTCAGTTGAAAGCAACTGCAGCAGACACATTTCAATGGTTTAGTATCATTCCTATATCAATTTATTGCTATATGCTATTTGCTACGTGACAATTTGTTAATTTGGTCATGTCGAGTCAAGTCAAGTTTTGTACTTGTTGCAGATGCCACAAAATATTATTCGTAGCGTGACTTGATGAAAAGCTGTTGAAAGTGTTTTTGTGTGTGTGTGTGTGTGTGTGTGATTATTTATTGCCAAGTTTGTCAAGTGCAAGAAACTTTTGGGCACATGCAAAAAGTCAAAAGTCGAAGTGCAATAAACTCGTGCATTAACTTGGCAAAGCAAAGCAGTCTGCGCAGCTGTCGCTAATGAAGCCATTCAGTTGTCATTTCCTTGGCCAACAGCAAAATCAGCAACAGCAGCAGCAGCAGCAACAGCAGCAGCATAAATCAGTGCTGCCAGCGTTTCCCTTTGGCCATAAATATCCACATGCTATTAGATGGCAGTTGCCCCAACAATCCACCAATCAACCACACCCTACCCTTACCAAAAGACAATGGGGCGATTTAAGTGCTGGCGGCTGCCAAGTGCTACCATTTTCATAAACACATTAAATTAAATTGCATTTCAATGGGCTGGACTGGGACTGGGACTGAGACTGGGGTTGGGCGGCGAAATGTGTCACAAAAGTTGCCGAAATCCATTAAAATTTGCTACTTTCTGTGGCCCATTTTGATTGCCAAATGCATTGAGAGCGAAATTTGTGCGTCAGATCAACTCCTCAATGGCGCCACTATGAGTCTGAACTCAGAGTTAGAGCTAAATGGCAGTTTGAATACCACTATTATATTAGTTAATATTATAGTTCTAAATTTCGGATAGCAGTACAATGACAGTTGGGATACCACTCATATATTCGTAAGCAATACATATTTCATTATTTTATTTATTACCTATTTCAATTCTTTATGTATATTTCGTGTATATCAAAAAACGATTTCCAGCGCAATTACGAATTCGTTAACGGGTCTGATTTGAGGCTTTGATTTCAAATTAAAATTACACAATACTCACACAATATGTTTAAGCATGTTAAGCGCAAATCTCTAATTTCAAATACGAGTCTCATGCGAGACACTCTCCATTTCACTGCACCCCCCCTGCGTATGAGGCGCTCTCCTTTGTGCTGTTCATAAAAAGCAATAAGGCAGCTTTATGTGTTTTTAACATATTTACCTTAAAAAGATGTGAAAAAGTCGAAAGGCTGCAGGCAATCCATATACAATCAGTCTGCATACATATAAATTATTCTGAGTGTATGCGCGATGTGTTTGTGCAGACAGTAAACACACACACACACACACACACACACACACACATATGAGACTCGCTGTTAGCCCCCCTGTTTTTTAGCTGTATCCGCAAACTGTTATTAAATATTTGAGTTTGCTTTTTTGCGCTGTGCGACATAAATTTAGTGAGTTTTAATTTATGCGACAGTGTGCAACGCCTCATTAATCCACAATTGATGTTGGAGTCGCACACAGCACACAGCATACAGCATACAGCCTACGACGAGCTGGAATTGGTTGCCACTGTGGGCGTCCTCCTCTTTTGAAGCCATTTGATGTCAAACGTTTTTATTAAGACTGCTGCCAAAACACGAAACCCGGAAAAACTATCAACGTCAATTGACGATTGTCATTTGTGGAAATTGAAAAATTGTATTGCCAACTGGGAGGCGGCAGGCGGGCAGCAGCCACAAATGAAACGATTTTGGAGTGGGTGACAATAACAATAACGAAAGCAAGACAAAAGAAAGTTGCAACAAAATGAATTACAAAATGCCACTCAAGGTGCTGTGGGCGTGGCCGTAGCACTGCTTAATTTAACCAAGTGCCGGGGCTACGAGTCTGCCACAAATGACTTTTAATATTGTGGCAGCAGAGCAACAGCAGCAGAGCCATAACAAACAAACTGTTTCAACTTTGAGTTAGTCCAGCTGCGCCTTTCTAGACAGTAGCAGTAGCCCATTAACTGGCAGCATTCAGAGCCAATGACAAGCCAGGAAACAGCGTATGACACTGACAATGAAATGGAATTGCACAAACATGCCACCAAGCCTCTCACTCCGCCCCCTTTGGCATAACAACCCCAACAAACCAACGCCACAAGCCACAACTCTCCAAGTTGAGCAACTGCATCTGTAACTGCAGCGCACAATAATCCTTAAAAGCAAACTAAGCAAGCAAAGAGCTAGCAGCCAAAAAGGATATACGAAACGAGCAAATCGAATAGAGTCGACAGAAAGATACCCTGTAGCATACAGAGCATGTAGTGTAACATTGGCATTTAAAATTGTTTATATAAATATATATATACTACTATATATAAAGTACTTAATAATCATATATGGAAATTGCATTACCAACTTGTCCAATCTATAGCGAAAGCTTATGCATATTAAATATAATACACTCAATTACCTCTTTAAGCAACTGCTGAGTGCTGCAGCGGAATAAAACATTGTCAGAGCTGTACAAATAGAGGCAAGCATGGGAAGCATCTTTCTAGGTAGCGGTGTGGGAGTTGTTGCATGAAGAAGTGGCAGGCGGCGGCACTCTTATAAATGAAATGGAGTAATAATATTTTGCGACAACAAACGCTGCGTGGCACAACACAATAGAATGGCTAAAAAGGATAGAAGACTGCATAGGGACACACACACACAGGGCGCAGCTGTGCTATGGGCACCTAACAATGCAGCCAGCAAAAACAGCAACAACAGAAACAAGCAGAAACAGCAGCTATGCTGCAGACAAACAAACATTTCAATAAATTCAAAAAAACAACAAAAAACAAGTCAGCAGACAGACAATGAAAAACACGCAAAAGGAGTGCCAGCCAGCA